GTGAGAAAAAGAGAGAAAGAGACTTAGCTTGGTAGGGGACTTACTCAAAGTCTCTTTCTCTCTTTTTCTCACAACTCGCTACTTTCCCAATTTCCTCTTCACCGGGGTCTAATGTGGATTAAATTGCCTATTTGTGTCCATTTCTCCCAAATAGGCAACTCCCACAAAAGGAAAACAAGCGAGGCTACTTCCCTAATGTTAGGGCCCAACCCATTGCCACCTGGGCACCTTATCTCCTGAGACGGCCTAGTATCCCCTATAATCTGACTTTGTGAGACATATACTAGAGCATTTGCTCAGCAACAGCAGCACCTGGCCTCACATCTGATGCTAATCCTGTGTGACATGTCCTACTTTCAGTGCAGGATATTATTTTCATTCCCCACCTAACTGATACCTGGGGTCAGTGTTCACCTCTTAAACAGAACAATAGGGATATTAATTGGGCATTAAAATATCTGACTTGTTAGCCAATTGAAGGCTATATACTGAGCTCTCACTGGGAGCTGGTTAAAGTCCTAAGTACTCTCCCCAGTGAACAGAATATGGGTTGTAAATTCTGTGAACACTAGACTTGTTAAAGCACAAATTATCCAGTGAGATACAGCTGCATATGAAGGGCATATACACCCAAGAATGCATTCACATTTTTATCCTGTATCTTCCAAGAGCAGGAAAAAAGTAGAGTTCTGATCTTTAAAAAGTGTTCTGCAAAAACTCATTGACTGAAGGCTGGAAAACTCCTCCTAAATCCTGCTGTTAACATACCTTGGTATTAAGTAATGAAAGCACCATCATCATGAACCAGGGAAGCAACTACAGTACAGTCATTAGCCATCAATACATTCTGGTCATATTGGCAGGATGTGACCTGGACTTATTGATGTGATTGTGCAGCCTCTTTGTTGTTGATTTGTCTTTGTGAACATAGTGATCCATTTAAAGTAGAAGTGGCAAACCTGTGGCTTTCCATATGTTGTTGGAGTCCAACTCCCTTCATGCCTAGTCTTCAGCAGATTGGGGAGGGGGCATAACCAATTGGTTTTTTTAAATCATCAAAAACAATAGAAGCTTATTGGGAGATTACGGTCATATGTAGCACTTCTGAACAACAGATAGTTTGGTTAAGAGAATGGTAAAAAGTGTGTGTGTGTGTGTGTGTGTGTGTGTGTGTGTACGCACTCACAATGGAGTTTCCACCCCCCTCCTCTCCCCCCAGAACAGATTTAGGGAGGACTGCAAGGTGGGGGGGGTTTCCATTGATCAAGTGGAAATTGTTGCACTGATGGAACAAGTTAGCTAGATAGTGTCCTTAGTTTTCCTAGCAATTTACCCAAAAGACTTTGAACAGATAGCTAAAACTGGTGTCATTAAATCTCAGGTTAATCACTCTTAGTGTCTGAGGCTGATCAAAAGATTTTTAGGTTGGCCAACAAAATAGTAAATGAGGTATAATACCTACAAATGTCTTTTGAGACCTGGCTCCAGCAAGTCGAATCACTTAGTTCCAAGCTTTGTTACCTTTATTATTTATCTTTCACCTAAGAATGTGGGTCGAAGGCTATTCAGTTGCAAAGCAGAGCGCAGTCAAAGAAACAAGCAACAAAGGAGGATTTGAACAGGTGACAGAAGATCACAGATCAATGCACAGGGGACTGGCTATCCGACTCATGCAAAGGATAAGGAAAGGAAATGGGTCAAAGCTAGGATTGGAACTTGTTAAAGTGTATTAATTCAAATCTCTTAGGTCAGTAATCTGCCAAGAGGCAGAAATGTGGATAAGAGTACAAAAGGCATGGCTTAAGCAGAAGCAATTAATTGGACTGTCATGTACTAGAATGCTACCAGTGCAGCTGAAAAAGGCGTACATTGCCTTGTAAAGGTCAAATTCTGGGGAACCAAGCAGGAAAAGAAAAGTTATAAACACTAATTCTGTGGTCAAAGCTTGAATGTCATGGTGATTAGACCAGACATTACCTCCACCAACAGATACAGGCTTTTCCTGGTCCTGTCCTATATGTTCTCATGCTGTGGTTCACTTGCTCAGTAGACTAATTGAATAATTTTCTTCAACATACCATGTGTTTGAAGTGTTCATGTGTGTTGAATTATCAATTAATTGTTACTTTAAGCAGGGATAACTGAACTATAAACTTTGGGGTGGCATTTTGCTGCCAAGGAGTGTGGTGGAGTCTCCTTCTTTGGAGGTCTTTAAGCAGAGGCTTGACAACCATATGTCAGGAGTGCTCTGATGGTGTTTCCAGCTTGGCAGGGGGTTGGACTCGATGGCCCTTGTGGTCTCTTCCAACTCTATGATTCTATGATTCTATGATTTTGCTCGACCTTTTCTACCTGGGTATTGATACTGAGATATAAAAGACATGTGCACGCCAATATGGATACTTAAACAGAAGCAAGAAGGAATAGGTAGAAGGAGCCGGACGTGAGTAGCTGGGTTACAGCAGCAAGATGATTTTGACTAAAATTAGCTGGGTTGTTAAATGGATAGGGTAATGTGTGCAACAACCAGTGACAAGGTCTGAAGTACCTGGGATAGCTCCTTGCAGGGGCTCTGTGAATAAGAGTGGCGTTCTTGGTGTGAAGGCCAGCATTAAACTCTGCACAGTTAAGATGGAATTCGTTGTCAGAGGTTATAGTGATGGCTACCAACTTGGGTAGCTTCAAAAGTATTTTAGGCATGTTCATAAAGCACAAGACTATTGACAGCTACTAGTTATGATGCCAACGTACTAGCTCCAGCATCAGAGGTGGCATGTCTCTGAATGGCAGTTGTGAGCTTCCCATAGGAATCTAGTTGGACACTGTGGGAACAGGTTCAGCCTTTGGTCTGATCCAGCATTGCTCTTGCTATGTCCAAAGGAGCCTTTAAACCTGGAGCCCCAACTCCCTAAGATTATAAGGCAGGGATTGGGGAAACTTGTGCCCCTCCTGTTCTGGGGTCTGATTCTGACTCCTCAGTTGGAAACATAGGAGTAAGGTGAGCTGATGTATCAGGGGTATTAAACCAGTCTGGTGTTCACTGCTGACAATCCATTCTTACTCTGACAGATTGCACCAAGTTCTCTGCCTTGGACTCAGTTTTGGGTGGATTTCAGAATTTATTTTATTTATTTCATGAAAAATTATACAGTGGTACCTCGGGTTAAGTACTTAATTCATTCCAGAGGTCCATTCTTAACCTGAAACTGTTCTTAACCTGAAGCACCACTTTAGCTAATGGGGCCTCCTGCTGCCGCTGCGCCGCCGGAACATGATTCCTGTTCTCATCCTGAAGCAAAGTTCTTAACCCAAGGTACTATTTCTGGGTTAGCGGATCTGTAACCTGAAGCGTATGTAACCTGAGGTACCACTGTACAATGCTTGAGTGTAAAAAAACAAACAAAACCCCAAAAACCTCAAAGCAGATTATAAAAAGAGAAGTCTCTGGGGCAGGTATTTCCAGCTGAAGATCATCTCAGAAAGATCTAGGGGTTAGGCTGTTGTAGGACCCATTCCTTCCCTACCTGCCACTGCTGGGAACTTTTCAAGGAGAATATTTCCAGACATTCTGTGTTTGCATAGATGAAGAGCTTTTCATATGGACATACTCAACTGATTCATACAGGAAATGTTTGTACTTCTTTAGTGTAAAAGCATTCAGTTAAAGGTATTTGACAGAAGGGCTCGTAGATGAAAATCTTACACCATTGGTTATTTCACCTTCTCTCATATAACCTTGGTAGTAGATCTCATGTGTTTTGCAAAAGGACCAGGTTCATCTTCCTGAATTAGCTGCATACACCCAAAAAAAACCCTTTACCACAAAACATGGCTCATATGTACAAATCAAAAGCAGCCAGCCTATCCATCCCCAGTAATTAGTGCAATATCAGCCACAATGTCCTGACAGCAAATATACTGATTTTATAACATCTGGTGCTGAGGACTAAACAGTGACCTTCCTCATAATGACCTTTCGGTTTAATCCCTTTTGAAAATAAATCTTATTATGGATGAGTCAGCAAACAGCTCTACTGTGTTTGCTGTTTACAGCTTGCATTTTTCAGGCAGCAGAAAATGCAGATTTTAATATATGTTTTAGGCTTTTCATTTCTACAGCATCCCTCTGTGAGGTTAGTAATTTTTTAGCAATCATTTTAGTGAGTACTGTACATGATTTGCTTGTGATCTTCCCCTGATTCTCTAAAATCTATAATGTTTGGACTAAAGCAGGATTGCTCCTTGAAATGCCATCCCTCCTATGGTTGTTTTCAGCACTGGCATTAGGAATCTCAGATGTTGGGGGACGGTTAGGCCAGGGGTTGGGAACTGAATGCAACAGCCAGATAATCCTCCTCAGTCCTCACAGACTTAATGGCAAAAATTACACCTGCAACCAGCATTTAATTCCAGCTACCGCTGGGCGAAGGTAAGAATGGATGGATCAGTCTCTTTCCATTCCATAGAAATAAATTCATTCACAAATCCATGTAATCCTATTTCTACATTAAATTTAAATATGTATTTTTAAAGGATTAAATATGTGTTTTCAACATTTTTGTCTCAATATACACATTTCTAAACATATTTTATCCCAGATATATACTTTTATATTACATAATTATGATACATTATTATAATTGATGCATTTATGAGAATGCAATTATCCTTTTTATACAGATCTGGTATAGCTTAGTGGCTAATGTGGTATGTGCTGAAAGGCACAGCTCAGTAGTAGAGTCGATATGTGGCATGGAAGAGTCCCAAATTCAATCTGCAGTTGGGAAAGATCCCTATCTGTAATCCTAGAAAAAGTGCTGTCAGCCAATGGAGACAATACTGTGCTTGATCTGACTTCCTTCCTATATTCTTATGAGTCAGGGCACCCCAAATTCAAGTATCACTTCAGCCATGATCACTGACATAGAGCTGCAGAGTTGGAAGGAACCCCAAGGCGCATCCAACACAACCCTGTTCAGTGCAGGAATCATGCCTGCAGCTGTCCCCGGGTGGCCTCGAACCACCAACCTTCTGGTTAACAGCCAGGCACATGGACCCATTGGGTCACAGGTCTCACAGACGATACGTTTGCTTGAAGAACACATTAGCCATCACTGCCAATGTTCTCCTGTAGTGGTTTCAGCTGGTGGAAAAGACAACATGTGTTCCAGGTCATTTCTAGACTTCTAGTGAGGCCCAGCAGTCGTGACTGGGATCCCATGTGAACTGTGTGGCTGCTCTAAAACATGAACATGCCTTATGTGAAGAGTTCTGGCATTCAATGGCAAATATTCAAATGGCCATGGTTCCAATGCAAGAGGCCATTGTTTCCCACATGGGGAAAAGTTCAAAAGCCAAGCTATATAGAAAGAAATTTTTGACCACACAGTGCGCTAACAAAAAGTCTTTTCTGAATTATCACCTCAAAACTTTGTGCAGTATCAAAGCAAGGGAGAAACCACTTATTATTATCCTTTCACTCCCTCTGCTAATAGCCACACATTTGCCTTTTGCTTTTATGATGTTAGTAATTCACTCATTATGGATTTCCCCCATTATATTTTAAAAGCCTATTGCATTAATATACTTTTTTTTTACATTTCCTCTTTTTCTAGTACAAGCAAGTGGAACAGTACATGTCGTTTCATAAACTACCTGCCGATATGCGCCAGAAGATCCATGATTATTATGAACACCGTTACCAGGGAAAGATCTTCGATGAAGATAGCATTCTCAACGAACTCAACGACCCACTTAGGGAGGTAAGGATGTCAACATTGCGAGAGGGTTTCTCCCTCATTCTGAGCTTGAGAACAATTCAGGTGCATGAAAAGTACACCCTTCATTTGAGGTGGGCTTTAAAGAGCCCCTGAAGTTTTTCTGAATTTGGCTTGGGTCGGGAGAACTTTGCTATTTTGTCTCCAATTAGACACAACAGGCAAACTAAAAAGTTATTGCGATGATATGTTTATTTAAAATATGGTTTACTGTTCTGTTTTGCTTCTCAACAACTCAGTTATGGCATTTCAGTTATTATGTAATGTATTGCTAAAACCACCCTTCTTAAGAAGAGGATTGAAAAACCACCAACCTGGGAAAATTCAGCAAACATCATCCCAGTTCCTCCATTCCGCCCTAGTACCCAGGAAAACAATATTAAGACCAGATTTCTTTTTAAAAAATAGGCCAGGTTCACAAATCACTTTACAAGCTTAACAGTGGTTTAAAAGTGAACATACAGTGTGCTAGTTCAGAGGGAGAAAAAATATATATTCGCTGCTTTGCTCTTTGCTTTTTCCCTCTGTACTGCGCTACTGGGAACTAAGCCATGGTTTGGCTCAGCATTACATCCACATTATGGTTTATCTCTCTGCAAACAAACCACAAGCTGTTTTTTCCTTGGCCTGCTACTTGTGGTTTGTTTGGTGGAGACAAACCATGAACCTGAGTCTGGACAGAATGTTAAGCCAAATCATGGCTTAGCTCCCAGTAGTGATGCAGCAACAGGAGCTGGAGAAAAGTAAAATGGCCATTCTTTCCTCCCTGTACATTTGCCTTTAAGCTACAGTTAAGCACAGCTGTGGTGGTTAAAAGTGATGTATGAAAGAGGTTGGAGAATCTCAGCCCTTGTTGAAGAAGAATCAGCATAGCTTCTCTAAAAGAAAGTCTCACCTTACTAGCAGGGTTGGTCAACAGACTCTGAAGTCACAAAGTACTGAGAACCAAGTGGAACTGGGTCATCTCAACTTACCCTGCAAATAATGCACTTAGCAGCTTCGACAAGCTCAATATTTTTGCATTTTATCCAACTAATGGTGACTGCAGCATAAATTCCTTCTTTGTTTATAAGCATGAATTTGCTATTAGCGTTATCAAAATGTCATGCTCATTAATTGTTAAGCTCTGATATGGAATGACAAATGCTAAAATTTCCATGCCTGATAGTGCTTAATGCCAACATTTTTTAACCTTTCCAAACTACACTTTCCATGTACTGGATAACAAATTGTATTTCTCTTGCACACAAGGAGCAACAATTCATATTTCCCCCCTCAAGTTGACCCTAGGAAAAAAATATATGAGTGAGCTAACAAAAACACATGCAAATGCTTTACTCAAGAGGTGAGCTTCTGGAAATATGAGCAAGAGAACTGAAATGATTATGCAGCATTAACTACAGTAGGTCATTTCTGTTCCTGTTGTAATTGCATTGTGATTTCAGTTGTTCTAAAAAATTAAACTGCATAAAAACTTTAAAATACAGGACTGCGCTCAGGATGAGGACTACAGCAATCATTTGATGACAGTGCATAATTATCACTGATGGGAGATTTTAATTATGTTTGTGGAAACTTGACAAAGCCGACTGTAGGAGCATGTTATGAACATGACATTGATCAAGTTACTTAAGAACAGGATGGTGGGTGGGGTAACAACAACAACAACAACAACAACAATTCAACCTACAAATGCTGGCACAAATGTCTCCCTAAATTTAAAATTTCCAAGTGCCATCAATGATGTTTAACAGGATGGGGATGAAAAACAATCTGTTTTCTATCCCAAAATGAGGAAAACTGCACAATATGTTGGAGGAAGAAAAAAAAAAGGATGTTTGAGACACCCAGGTTATTATTTGAGCCCAGAAGCAACTGGCTTGGTCATGCTGACAAGTTGGAAGCAGTTGAATGAACTGCGGGTGGCTCAGTACCAGCAGATGTGCGGAGCCAAGCATTGACTGAAAATGCCATACCAAGAATTGCGGCTAAATAAATGCTAATGCTAATGAAAGGATTGGTGGACAAAAATAAATAAAATAAAATCTAGGCATGAATCTGCAAGAGCAGATTTTTATTTCATACATTCCCTTCTGGGCTGGCGATGTTGGGAGCAGATGTGAATGTTCCCTTTGTACATTAGGTGACACACAGAGAGACCAATCTCCATCTTTTGTGCCACCAAGAGACATTCAAAGGATTTATTCCAGCTAGGCAAAAACATTCAAGATGGGTGCGAAGTTAAGTCCAGGCAGGATGTGAAGTCTTGGGAGATTACTTGAGGGCCATGGCTGCTCCTGAGATTCAGCACTCCCTTCCAAAAAGGAAACCCAAACCCAGATGTGATTAGCAGTGGCACATTTAGCATCATGCACAGCTAATCCCATAGGTTTGTGTGTGTTGTTGTTTTTAATTAAGGGGAAAGCTGAAGAGCAGCAAGCAACTGTGTTTTGAGGGACATGAAAAAATAACACTGGGACAATAAGAGACTAGTGCCCCATTGCCGAGTGATAAGATTTCCAGACTCATGAATGCTAGGATAAAAAATGCCAGGAACTCTCTCCGGCGATGTGCCTTATTGTTAAACTGTCTGGAGAATAGCATTCCACTAGCTGACCTTGCTCACAGGGGTTTCGTGGGCATCATTACTTGCTTCTTGCAGATAATAACAAGTAATGCAGTGGGATGGCTTCGGTCGGATAAGTGTTCTTTGCAGTTCCTTAAAGCAGCTCCAAGTTCCTGTAAAAAAATAAAAATGAAAAGAAAGTCTTGACACTTTGAATATGATGAAAGATTTTTGTGCCTGACTATTACCCAGGCTATAATTGGTTCCATTAGTTTGTTTCATGGGGATGAAGAAGAAACTTCAAAGCTGTGCAGGGAACTGTGTGTGCCACTGTTTCTACGAATAATAAGATAGTTATTGCATAGTACACAACACTACAGTATAATCCATTAAGTTGTTGGTGGAATTGTCCCTCTAATCAGAAACGTGGGGAAAGATGTAATCTGTTTTGGGGGTTTTAAATAATTGTTTGCCCAAATTGTTTGAGTCTTCCTTGTAACTATTTTACAAATTTAAAGTAAATATAAAGGTCTCTCTGAGTGACATTTCAACCGTCTTGAAGGCAACAAATCTCTTCCTCACCCCCACCCCCCGTCACATCTGGCCATTGAATAGCACCAAACCATTTCAGCTACACAGATTGCTCACAAAAGCTCTTCAGATCCTGAATCTACCTTTCCAAATGAAACTTAACCTGATCCATAACACATTGCCAGGCAAAAACATTCCTCTTCTCCTAGGCTTATCAAACAATCTATGGCCTTTTAAATTGGGGTGGATATTGTTTTCGTATGTTAAAATGTTGTGTATTTTTGTGTTCTTATATTGTAAACCGCCCTGTGATCCTCAGATGAAGGGCAATATAGAAATTTAATAAATCATCATAATCATCATAAGTAAGAGGATTTAAGCCAATTTATAGCAACGGAAAAATTATTTATTTCCTCATTTCTATATGGCTCTCCATAACAAAATCTCAGAGTGGCTTACAAAAATATATAAAATAATATTTGAAATACAGAAAACGGAAACCAACAGCAGGAAGAAAATACTCCTTACAGACTGTTGACCAAATCAAGCTGTTCCCATGAGCACTCAAAGGCTTGAGTGAAAAGGTGTCTCTTAAGCAGCCTATAGACCCGACATCAGGAAGAAGCCTAATGGACCTTCAGAATCAGGGAGTTCCACTACATCTGAGAAGGTGCTACAATGGGTCCCCACCCCCTGCACACTTCTCAGGTGTGCCATTATAAGGAGGGCCTCCTCCACAGATCCTTTCTGCCAGGCTGACACATATTAGGAGAGGCACTCAGTTGGGTCCTTGGATCCCAAACCATTTAGAGCTGTATAAGACATGCAGATCCATGAGAGTCGCATGGACTGCAAGAAGATCAAACCTATCCATTCTTAAGGAAATCAGCCCTGAGTGCTCACTGGAAGGACAGATCCTGAAGCTGAGACTCCAATACTTTGGCCACCTCATGAGAAGAGAAGACACTCTGGAAAAGACCCTGATGTTGGGAAAGATGGAGGGCACAAGAAGAAGGGGGTGACAGAGGACGAGATGGTTGGACAGTGTTCTCGAAGCTACCAGCATGAGTTTGACCAAGCTGCGGGAGGCGGTGGAGGACAGGGGTGCCTGGCATGCTCTGGTCCATGGGGTCACAAAGAGTTGGACATGACTAAATGACTAAACAACAACAACAAAGACAAAATAAGTACAGTGGTGCCCCGCAAG